CAGGCAGACCGAGGAAATACACTGCTGAAGGGAGCAGCGGGTGGCAGGAGGTCTGTGCTCCATGTGGGACCCTCCGCAGGGCCCGGGGATCGAACCCGCGCTGCAGAGGCTGCCAGCAGCTTGGCAGGCCAGCGCTCAATGGCTGCGCCACCAGGAGTGGCCCCAAAATGATTTAATTGGATTTTGGTTTAGCTGTTGAAAATCAAGCAAACTATTGAGCAAATGAGGTAAATTTCAGCACTTAGTATCAGTGGCCTTTGAGAATGAGCACATTCCAAACACTATAATTTGTAGTATGCCATTTATTACACCAAAATAATCTTATATCAGCAAGGGTTGGATCTCAAAGATATAAGTCAAGTTCAGAGCAAATAATTTTGTTCAATTTTTATCAAAACAGAAATTACATTTATTTCATGGGAGCAGGTAGATTCTATAATTGCTTCACTGAAATTAAGATTTCTACTTGCAAAAAAAAAAAGATTTATGGATGCAAACACAAACTCATTTTGCTTGGGAACTGGCCAAAATGTTTTGAACAGCCACAATAAAATAAAAGAATTAATTTGTTAAAAGGCAAGAACCGTGATTACCATGGTACAGACTTAGTGAATAGTCAGTGCATGAACCACAGTAATGAGATCTTTGCAACCTCACAGGAATTCAGCTACTTAATCATTCCTCTTTTGAAGCAGTTTCAAAAGTACATTGTGTTTTCTTGGTGAGTGGTACAGGTCTTGATTATGTATAAAAATCAGAAAAAGTGGTTTAGCTGCTTAACATTTTACAAGTCTGTTACATATAGTTGGATGGATTTGCCCCCAGAAGTTGGTGGGGATAGAGAGGGAATCACTGTGGACAGAGATGTTGGAGTTGTATTTCCAGCTATGTCCACTTCCATTTCATAAAACATACTAACGTAGTGCTTACTTCGGCAGCACATATACTAAAATTGGAACTATACAGAGAAGATTAGCATGGCCCCTGAGCAAGGATGGCACGCAAATTCATGAAGCGTTCCATATTTTTACCTTGGTGCTGATTATATTTTGAGGCCAACACTCTCCACCCACGGTCTTTTCTACCTCAGGCACTCTGCCACCCAGTCTTGAATCTTTTCCATCTTACTCCGCATCCCTCTGCACTATCCTGAGAACTATGGTGCCTTACACACAAGGAAATGAACTTGCCAAAACAAAAACAAAAACAAAAAAACCTAACTTAGACCCCCTCCCCTTTTTTGTTAAGTCTATATTTTTACGTATAAAGGAAGGAAACCAGACAATATGGACAGAGGTAAATATTGTAATTACCAATTTTTAATGTGGGGAGATTGATAGAGACCCATTGTAGAAGTGACAAACTCAAATCAGTCACTTAAAATTGTGTCACACTGCAAGACGCTAAACCTCAGGAGCAGTTTTTCATCACTCTGAGGATGGAATGAAAACCACAAAGCATTATTCTGATCTTCTCTACAGTGGAGAATTGTGTAGGAAACAAATTTGATGAAATGTTTGCTAAGAAGTCCAACTGGGTTAAACCTACACAAACTTGCACATGCTTGAGAGGCTAATAACTTCTTATTTAGAGCATAGAGCTCCTGACCTGAAACTTTCACATGTGTGTAATTGTCACAATAAAGAGTCTTAATTCTGCAGTATTTCAATCCCTCACATAGAATCCAAGATCAACAGAGCCTAACATGTGTTAGAGTCAAAGTTGGGATGATACGCTTCTGTTGGCTTAATTATTTCCCCCAAAGACAATTATTTATATTTTGGAAGAAGCAGGAGTCCAGTGAAAACACACAGACCTGAAAGCAGTGCATTAATTATTTTATTAATTTCTTCTTTTTACATTATGGGAAACATTCATCTATTTACAATTTTTATTTTTTGTCCACACACAATCTAGGTAAATAAGCCTATGAAATTCCAATTCATAAAGCCATAAAAATGTTCCCCACCCCTCCATCTGAACTTTCAAATTAATCTTTTTTTTCCAAACCAAAATAATTTTTAAAAATTACATTTGGGAATTCAGATATGCTAGTGATTTACATTCCAGTTATTTAAAATATGCATCTAGACATGTTTTAAAAAAGAAATGGTAAATTCACCGGGATAAGGCTTAAATTAAAGTGGGAATGCACAGTAAAACATTAAGGAAACATCTATAAATAACAGAACTATATTACAAATAAATTAGTTCTATTTACCATTTCAAATATTAAAAATCTTTAATCCATTTCTTCATCTCTCTTTACAAAAAGGTTATGTGAATTGTATGGAAACATCTGCAAAAAATATAATAAATACTTAATTTCTTTGAACGTTTTTTGATGTGGGAAACAAACTTCTTTTGTAACCCCCCCTCCCCAAGAAAATGCCCGAACATCTTTATACCAAAGTTAAAGAAAATAAGTACTTTTTCAGGGTACATACATTTTCCATTATGAACTAAAAAAACATTTCTACAAATTACATCAAAAGAACAATGTAACAAAGGTTATGCTCATGAATGTTGGTTTAGGGGCATGAGTGGGTTAACAAGCAGCTCTACGTGGGGTCGTGTTTTAACATCAATAATCAGCTTTTTATAAAGTGTTTGTACAATTTAAGTTGTGTTTTTAAGGAAGGCAAAGGTCATGATGCCTGTCGGCATTCAGCTAAAAGATTTAAAATTCTTACCAAAAATAGCTTATGAATATACAAATACCATTCACTTAAATAAGATAAACAGGCCTTCTCTTGTCTCTCTTTAAAATATCCTGGGCTAAACCAGTTCCCAAAGAAAATATTGAAACATATTAGAAATCTATTTCTTAATCCAAATCTTATCTCTACCCCAGGGCACAGATCTGTTATTCAGAACATGGGTCTTCGTGTGGATGCCGCTTCCTTCAAGTTAATCTATGAGTTCGGGTCATTGTCATGTTTGAAAGTGACCATAGGTACCCATGGCAGCAGTTGACTTTACTTGTAAGGTGCAAATTTTGTGTGACTTTCCATTGCGGCTACAAAGTAAAGAAAAAAGTGTATTCTTTTTAAAACCAGCAAACACTTGAAGCTCAAAATCTCGGTATGCTCCAATTTTACAAAGCACTCAAGGTGCTTTGCTCATCCTAGTTAAAAGTTGGTTGGTTGGTTTTGACATAAGTTAGTAGCCCTTTTCTTGTAAAACCACAGCAGTAAACATTTGTGCCCTGTGTATAAAGATAGCTCAAAGCATCAATGGCTCTGAGAGGTAGCGAATTCTCTAGTGGTTTTAGAATATGTCCATGAAAATAGTTGCTGCCAGAATCCATCACTTCTCTAAATTTCATAAATAAAATTAAATTAGCACCTGGCCATGAGTGTGTAATTTTTAAAAAAAGCTTCTCTGGTGCAAGCATATTTGATGTATGTTTTTAAGTCTTTCCTTTTTCAACAATAATTTCTAAGTTTAAGTGTAGAAGCTGGACATCAAGTGCCAGAGATACTTTAAGATCACCACATTCTAAATGTTTAAACTGCTACGAGTAAGAGTATTTAAAAATATTTTCAGCCAGACGCAAAGTGCACACTGCCCATCCATCATGACTAAAAGTGTAGATGACCATTCTCTGACAAAAGCCTGGGTTTCTACTGGTGTTTATGAATCATGCCTTTCTCCCCTCCTCCTCCTCCTCCTCGATGCTGAACCTTACAGGTCAAATTTCTTTTCTCACTACCTGGGACCTCAGGATGACAGCGGCAGCTCTTTGGAAGGACGCAGCATATCTATTTGGGGTAGAGAATTTATTTTATCTGTATAACATAAATATCCTTATGCTGGGGTGTGATCAGACTGTGCAGAAGTGAGAGGAGACTAAAGGAGAAAATGTCTGCAATATGAGCTACGGAGTTAAAATAGACAGATATGTAGCATTCAAAGGGATGACAGAAAAATCCAAACTTTTCTCTGAAAACAGCCTGGCTGCCATTTACAGCACTTCCTAAGCAGGTGTATACTTATATATGTGTAATTAGCTAGGACCCCCCAGGATGGACACTAACAAGTTAATAGAACCAACGCTTTCCGCTTGAAAGACCCATCACCACAACGATATAATATACATAGTACAATAAAAGCTGATAAAAGAATTCAGGTCTAAATGTTCGTACTAAAAGGAAAAAAAAATCCCTTGTGTAGTATCTTAAACTATCAGTGCTTCCTTTGCTTTGCTTTGCCTTGCCATTCTCCATTTTATTGCCTTTCAGAATAGATTAATTTCCCTGAAAGATCGAATTTACAATCTTCTGCTGATTGAAACATTTGAAGCAGTGACATGAAATAACAGTGAGGCAGTTTGTGCAGCTGTCAGAGATGCAGGTACCCCCGCACCTGCAGATTTTGCTTCTCCCTTTCCCACTACACACCCGGGTCCTCCACCCCCAGCCCATCTTGCCCCTCAAGGTTTGTCACACATCGATTCCGGTGAGATGGGGTGATTTCTGAGGTTGAAAATAAAGTGCTCCATCTGCTTTTAAAAATAATAACCGTTTAGGGGAATTAAAGGATCGGAGCCCTAGTTTCTTTCATGTGGAAGACGGTTAAGTCCCAAAGGATCACCCTATGATACTGGATTTCTGAAATACCCTACGGTTTTATATTGCTGAGCTCTAGGAACAGACTAGCTCGAGAGAACTGAGGATGGTGGGTGATCTAAAAGGGCCATTTCTACAGGTGGGTTTGGTTTTGTCGAGAAAAGAACGGGTCGGCTATCTGGATGAGGCAGGGCGACGGCAGCGGGACAGGTGGCAGGTGGCGAAGCTCGGTGAAGAACATGGGCGAACAGGGGCGGGCGCGGGGTGACTGGGGGTCGGCTCCTGCAAAATCGACACTACACCGCGACAGTGGAGTCACTGAGCTCAGAGACAGACGGGCTCGAGGTTGGGGGGGTCGGGGGTGTGGGGGTGTGGGGGAGAACAGGTACTTGGCGGCGACGCGGCGGGGTGCGCGCGGCGGCCCGGGCTTCAGAGCCGGGTCTGCGCCTCCGGGATGTAGATCTCGATGCTCTCGGCGCTCTCGGTGGCCGAGTTCTGGCGGACGGACGCGGCGCGCTTGGCGGCCATCAGGCGCTTGCGGGCCTCCTGGCGCTGCGAGCTCTCCAGCGAGCGCTCCCGGATCAGCGGCGCGGGGCCCTTCGCCGGCTTCTTTGGCACAGGAGGAGGGGCCCTTCTCTCCTGATCAAAGCAGAAGGTTCAGGACATTACACAGCTTCTCAGGACAAGCTTGGGGGCAAACTGGGATAGGTCAGTAGTTAGAACACTCTCTTTTGCTTTTACCCAGGGAGATTAGTTCTGCTCTGCGAACTGTAAATATATTTATCTTTTCTTCATTATTCTGGCTTGGGTATTCAAAAGATGCAGGAAAAACAAAAGACAAAAAACCGGCAAGCTTAAGGCCAAGGGTAAGGCTGGACTGCAGAACTAGATCTCTCCAGGGAAGGATGCGGGTATTTTAAATGCCCCCAGCGGAGAGGCTGCGGCGCCCAGCACATTTAATATGCTGCTCTCTGGAGGCTTCCGACTCGGGTCGGTACCTGTGATGGGGAATGGCTGCAGCAGTCACAGCAGCATCTTAGGATTCTGCATCCCTTCTAAAGAGGTAAGCAGCAGTGCAAACTGGGTTTAGAAACAACACCGCCCCTTTTCCAGGCCCACCCGGTCCTCCCTCTCCCAAATCTAAACAACTGAAAGAGAAAGAAGAGATTATGAGACTCCGTTCTTCAGCTTTGTTGATGCCACAGTCCCACAGTACCCTTTGCACATCACACACAAACACACAGCAGTGCACTTTCCAGAGTCACTCGAGAGGGAGGACACAGATACTCCTACACTCCGCAGTGGAGTCAGTTCCAAGATGGCTCCTAAAAGCTCCTGCTGGGACCGTGGTCCTAAGCGGGCTTGGAACGACTGATGGCCGAGAAGGCAACTCCAATCACAAGGACAGACACAGCACCACGGAAATTTAACACAGGACTGAAAAAGGCCATCCCACGTAGTAGCAGTGAAGTATAAAACGGTGCGATTTTTTTTTTTTTTTTTTTTGTGGGACCCTCGCTGGGGGCCTGGGAACGAACTGGCGCTGCAGAGGCTGCAGGCAGCCTCGCAGCCCAGCGCTCAATCGCTGCGCCACCAGGGGAGGCCCCGGTGCGATATTTTTTAAGGCCACTGCCGAAGCAAAAGCCACTCTCACTTGGGCAGGAAAAAGAAAAAGTGCAGTGGGAGAAAAAGGAATCTAAATCACAAAAAATTTTTAGAATAAGCATGGTGAAGCTGTGAAAAAGTCCACGTGAAGCTAACGTTTTCAATGTAAATAAAATACCCCTTAAGTCTCCTAAAAACTAAAGGTGGAACTTAAAATATGGAATCTGTGATTTTCGAAAGAGCACTCTTCGTGCACACAGCCTTGGAGCACCTAGCAGCTCTTCCTGGCATGAGAGGTGAAGGGACTCGTGGAACTTACTACTTCGGAGTTGCCCTGAAGGCTGTGTGAGGTCTGGTCTCCTTCTGGTCAGAAAACGAAGCACCCGCTATTTGGCCAGCTATGAGTATGCTAGTTAATTTGTCCCTACCAGTTCAAGGGGGGAGGAAAATTTCTGATCATAGACAAAGTGTATACAAATTTAGAAATCAAGTTAACCGATAACTTACTGGGTAAATGTCAATAGGTTACATACATCAGTTCTTCTTAGCATCACTCCTTCTGGACATATAAGATCTTCATTGTTGGGTAACTCAGTGGATATTTTAAAGTATGTATACTGGAAACATTTTAGTCATTTTTTCCTTTCCTTGAAAATTTAATTTAAAAATCAATGACTGAGAAATTAGATGGATCAGCACCAGAAACTAAATTACCAGTGTGTGTGTACATCTGTAGTATTTTCTTAAATAAGACCAACTAATATTTAGCCAACAGTTTTAAACACTGATTAAGGAAAACTAGGTTGAGTGAAAATGTCTGGCTTCCCAAGTGAGAGGCCACACACACATCAATGGTATTTGATGTTTAAAACTAAAACACCAGAACTGGAATGAGGGACAGTGATGGTCCATTACCCCCTCACACTTGGGAGTAGGTTTCTCCCAGGAGCCCACTGACACAGGGAACCCTGATTCTACAATGGGTAGCAGTGTGGATTGTGGTACTGACAGTTCTCTGATAGGTGAAGAGATCTAGAAAGGGTAGGAACACCGATGCTTCATGGGAATACACATACCTAATTTCTAAAAGTTGAATTTCTTGGAACTATTTAACCTCAGGACACAGGAAAGTAACCAATTAACAAAATGTCATGTATGAATGACAAGCCAGTTTAGGGAGGTATTCACTGGAAATCTATATGAGCCTGGTGAAACCATCATAACTAATCAAATGTGAAAATTGCAGTTTATAAATTAAAGGATTTGAGTCTCTATGTCTAAGCTTTGCATGAGGGACCCAGTGAGCGATATTCCCCAAGGCAAATCAACCCAAAGTGACTCTTTAAAAAATTCCCAAAATTTATGATTACTGTGAAACTTAACGGTGCATATTTTTAGATTTCAACAACAGTGGTTTCTTTATTACTATGTTTATGAAATGATTATCAAAGTCTGTTGGTTCTCAGGGCTTCCTATTTTTCTCAGAAACACATCTTAGGGGTGTAAGGAAGTTGAACTCTTGCTATATGTAATCATGCACTGAAGATGTCATTTATTTTAGTTTAAAAAGCAAAATGGAGGCAGTTCCTTCCAGTAACTAAAATGGTTTAACTTAAAGTTTAATTAACAAAAAAGCCACATTCCCATTTTCCAATTCACAGAGACAGATTTTTCTTTAAAAATATGTCTGAAACATATTACAAATAATATCCCAAATGATTACTATGTGAACATTGTCATTACAATGAAATTAATGATATCAGCTCCATTTCACATTGTAAACAGCAAGACTAAATGCAGAAGCCTATTTAGACTGTCCAGTGTTTGTGCAGGTTTTTAAATGAACCATACAAAATCTACATTGTTCTACCTTCTTGTCAAGAGGATCCATCTGTTTCCAATTATTGGCCTTTAACTGATGAAGTTCATCAAATTTCATACTAATATTTTCTATGGACAACTGCAGCATGTCCCAGAACCCGGCCAAATCCTGGGAGGTGGGCCTTGGATGAGCATTAGGATTCTGCACAAGAGAAAAAAAGAGCATTCCTGCGTTAGTACCAATCCAAACCGTATTTGCAGTTTGATTGAGGTATCACTGACAAATAATAGTTGCAAGATATTTCAAATGTACAATGTGATGACTTGTTATACATAGACATTACTAAAGAATTCCCTCCATTAAGTATCAAGTTAATTAACACATTCATTACTTTACATATTTACCTTTTTTTGGTGAGAAAATTTAAGTTCTACTCTATCAGCAAATTTCAATTATATAATACAGTGTGATCACCTGTAGTCACCATGTTATACATCAGCTCTGCAGATCTTACTTATCTTGTAACTGAGTGTTTGTGTCCTTTTACAACTCTCTTCTTTTTGCCTTGACTCCCCTCCATGCCCTGGCAATCACTTTTCTACTCTCTTTCCATGAGTTTGACCTTTTTTTTTTTAATTCCCTACAAGTAGCATTTTTATATACTCATCTGCTTGAGTCAGTGATTCTCAAATGTCAAGATTGTAAAACTCTTCTTTTGTAATTCAACATCTATCAACATGGCTTGGGGGGGGGGGAGACTTTAAACACTTGAAAAATCCCAGAATATATGATCTACAAGATACATTAAAAAAAAAACAAAAAAACACTGTTTATATGAAAATACCATCTTTGAAAAAAGAAACAGAATATTATTATCAGAGGTGGTATTCAACGCCATGCCACTCAACTTTTTTAGATAAGGAATCTAAAATAAGATTTGTTTTAATACTCAAGTCAAAGAAAGTAGTATAAATGAATGATAATAAAATAATTGAATTTTATAACAATTAATATGCTACAAATACAGGAAGTCACTTTCTCATGTAAGTAATTTGACAAAATCATTAGTAAATTAGTTTTTAAATTGACCATACTATAATAGAGCAAATGTGAGAACAAATATCTCTACATAATACTGACTTTCTGTAGGCATCTGCATTTGTTACATTGTTATAAGTTGTGTTGTGTACTTCTGTGGGCCATGGGTGCAGAATTGAGATATTCACCAAGAGAGGCAGGAGAGAGAAGGGGAGAAAGAACAGGAGAGAGGGCAGAAGAGTGAGAGAAGCCCAGAGTGAAGACTTGCCAGGGCCTTGGAGGCCTGCTGGGGGGCTTGGAGGTCTGTCAGCCTCTTGGCTCCCCCCACCCGCACCCCTGCCTGCCGTGTACCTGGTTGCTGCACTACATGTAAGAGCAGAATAAAAGCCTGAGAAAGCCACCAGGACTCTCCATTACCTTTCTGGTCTGCTCGAATCATAGAAAACCTGCTCAGTGGCCTTCCTGCCACTACACTTTCTTAATTGAAAGTTGTTAAGAAAAGATGGTAAATAGACTTATTGTGATGATCACATCACAATGTATACAAATGTCATTATGTTGTACACCTGAAACTAAAATAATCATGTCAATTATATTAAAAAAAAATTAAACATGTTTAGTGTCTAAGAATTGGCCCTCTTTGCCCCCATCCACATAACCCTAACAAGGATAACAGAGTATGAACCACTAGTTATTATGATGTGAGGCACAAAATACATAAAACTAAGAATTTTAAGGTGTCATGCTCACTACAACAGTAGCTAAGCGCATTCATGGTTAGAGGTGTGGAGGCTTCTACATCAGGGGTTTCCGCCTGAGGTCAGTTTTGATTACCTCCTGGTATTCCAGGCAATTGGATAGGCTGTGAAACCCCAAACCACATAATAACTTGAGGCCAGTTTGTACTTTTAAAACCAACCTCTATAAAAATGATACCACAAGAACTTCAGAAAATACAAAGTTCATGACCATGAAAATGAATAGATTGGAAAGAACTTTTTAACCCTTTGATGGACTAGCATTATTGGTCTGAGTTCAAAACAAATACAAGTCAAGATATATTTATAAACTTACAGGCTGAAACTCCCCACAATTCTGAAATTCATTGGAAGAGATAAATTCTAAAGTTTTGCAGTGTTTGGTTCGGTATTAAAATCTATTCCAATGATACTGGTCTTAACAAAAGTTTCTCTAGTATATTGATTAGTACACACACACCAGTTTCTCCATAGTTCAGATAATAACTTTGACAAAGTGCCTCTCAAACAGACTTTTATAATTTCAGAATATATTTCCATATCTTACTGATAACTAAAAACTAAATTGCTCATAGTTTGGAAGTCACTAAAGTCTTTTAGATTGTAAGTCCTCTTGGCTAAATCATTTCAGTGCACCAATGCAGGAAGTGATAGTTCAGTAGGCTCAAAGAGTTTGGTTAAATGTATCATGGGCAATTTTTTTTCTCCCCACCAATGTAGGTATATGGGGAAGGAGAGAGAGCACATATGCTGCCCATAACAAGTGGCAGAAGCACCTTAGCCTGAGGCAGGCCACCTGGAGGGCAGAGGGCACTACCTCTGGTGTGAAGGGAGAAGGTGGCTGGTTTCCTTCACTTGCTTTTACTGGAAAAAATAGCTCTCATTCATTCATTCCATGTCTGAAAGTCTAGTCCAAGATAATATGCAAGTATTTTCCAAGTAAGGAGTTGTTCTTTTTCTCCTCCTCAAAGTAAGAATTCAAGAAAAGTGAGCTTAGGGCCTCCCTGGTGGTGCAAGTGGTTAAGACACAACCTATGAAGCTGTCCACAGCCACTGCAGCACGAGTTCGATCCCCGGCCAGCCAGGGAGCAACTCACATGGTGCAGCAGACCTCTCCTGACTCACCCATTGCTCCCCTCAGTACTGTGTTTCAGTCTGTCTGTTCTGTTACCCACTCTGTCTCTGGTAAATCCTTTCACCACCACCCCCCCCCCACCTCTGGCCTGTACCCCAGCTCTGCTACGGAGGGGTGGAGCTGACTGTGTATCCCCAGGTCTCACCAGGAGGATGAGGAATGAATGTCAAATCCTGGAGGGGATTTTCAGGAACTGACTGGGGTTTGAATCTTGGCTCTGCCTATTGCAGTGTGGCCTTGAACAATCTTCTTAGCCTTTCCACGCACTTTTTCCTAACTGTAAAGCCATCATAAAAATACTATCACTATGAGCTCCATCGGGTCGCTTTGAAGATTTTTAAACTGATCATAAATCTAAAAGCCCTTACATGGCACACATTTGGTACACATTTCCTTCTCAGGGGCCTACCGCCTGAGGTCTAAGTCCTCTTCAGGTTGCCTTCTCACACTTTGGCATCTAAGTTCCTCTGATGGCCAAGGAATATGAGTCCACCAGAAACTAGGAAATGTCAAAAGCTGGCTTTAACAAAGTTAACCTTTTCTAAAATTCTGCAAATATTTCAAAGCATTTCAGCATATGAAAGCCAGGAAAATGGGAAATTTTCCATTACATAACAGCAGGAAATACAGTTATAAATTAGGGGATTTTTTTCCTACTAAGACTATTGTCAAATGTTTTGAATTTTAATGAAAGCAGGACAAAAGACCATCAGAAAACTCTATTCCAGGTGAGAGTTCGTTGGATTTTGACTTGGTGTAAAATCAGTTTTACTTGAGTTGGGCCAGGCTCGGTGACACCTTCTTCTTCTGGTCCTAGCAAGGAAAGGGTAGTGGTGGGGAATGTTACCTACCAGGTTTTCTTCACATAGTTCTCTGAACTGGTAGAATTTCTGGGCCATGAGAAGTTGGGCACTGCCCACAGCAGTTCGGATTTTCCCTAGGACTGAAAAGAGCAAACATACAAGAAGTTTACACATGATGCCTCATTGTTGAGATTTAGTCTGGTAAAGCAAAGAGGAAGTTATGGTGTAATATTTCGGAAAACAGCACCCACACTGCACGCGCGCACTTGCCCACTGACCAGTCATGCAGCTGTCATTCTGTTAGTCCACGTAACAGACGCCTAGGTTAAACCAACTCGGAAAAAAAACACTTGCTCATCATGCAGATTTCCTAGGAATAACGGAGTTTTCCACCATGGCACTGAATGTTACCAAGAAAAGAGGCAAATAGTATTTTTCCCTTTTACTGCAAGGATGAAATCCAAGTGTTTACCAGTATAATCATCCATTTATTTGTGTCAGCACATACGGTCGCTAGCTTGCTTTTTTAATCCAATCCAAACACAGAGAAGCTACCCTAACTTGTGTGGGGGGGGGTCTCTTGGCACTCACCACATCCCATCCACAGCCTTCATTATTTTCCCTGAGCTCAGCCACTGGTACTGTCAGGAAAGAGCCATGAACAGATGAAAGATTTTCTAAGGGAGTGAACATTTTCAGTTTGTTGCCTAGGGAACGTCGCCACCGTACCGGCTTTTCCATTCCACAGACCAATTTTATTGTTAATGTAGGTTTAATTCCCTATGCACTAGGCTGAAAATCTTCCCGTTTACAAGCTACTTCTTGCCTCCCGTGCAGTCGAAGGCAAGAACCCTTCAGCTGCTGGGCGTGCTGAGACGGGGCGGAGCCCTGGGCAGGGCCGTCCTCAGGTCTGCATTGTCCCCAAGGCTCCCCCTCCACCCACAGGGATCAGGCACAGCTGCGCTGCTGGAGCCCTGCCACTGGGCAGCTCCCAACACGCCTCCCTGTCAGGAAGGAAAGGGGAAGGCACTCTGCTCACCCCTTCCCAGCCTGCAGAGAGAACCAGAGGGAACCTCTCAATAAGCTCCACTTGCCCATTTCAAAATCTTCACAGGTAGATATATTCTAGGACACAATCAATATTTTTGCTGTTCCTGTTTTATTCTGAATTTACTGAACTTGAGACTGTGGGTGGAATTAGGTGTCCCTCTCAATCTCATTCCCCACAAAGTCTGAGGAGAAGGAAACAAAGGAAAAAGAAATTTTTTCAGACCCAAGATTTTCTAGTAATTTGCTTCCCTGTTGAAAACTGCCAGGCTGGATATTGGTGCACAGAGTGCTTCTACACAGGGGCTACTCAAAGGCGTCCGCATCCCACACCTGTCACCGGGGCATCTGTGAACCCTCTAAGGTGTCACCAGTCACACCAGACAGCTACAGTTGGAAATTCACTTCCCCAGAGAAAGCAAGGGGTCTTCCCTTGTAGCCCATTGCAGTCATCCTCAGGCCTAAGTTTTTCTTTTTTTCCTTTTGAAGTTATGTTTTTTGTTTTATTTTTTAAAGATTCATTTATTTATGCATACAAGAACTGGGGTACAGACCAGAAGTGTGGGGGGTGAGAGGGTTCACCAGAGGCAGAGTGGGGAGCAGAACAGGCAGACTGACTGAAATACACTGCTGAGGGAAGCAGCAGGCGAGACAGGAGAGGTCTGCTGTGCCATGTGGGTAGCTCCCTGACTGGGGATTGAACTCATATTGCAGTGGCTGATGATAGTTTCATAGTGCTGAGACTTTAGCTCCCTCGCCAAGAGGGAGGCCCTCCTTTTTCTACTTTAACTGATCAATCAGCTGTGCAAGGCCTCCTCTCCCTTTTGTAGCACCCCTTGAAGAAGAGAGGGCATCCTGTGTAACATAGGCACTGCAGTAATTAAGGGTTCAGGCCTGAGTGAGCTGAGCATTCTGACTCCAGCTTATCAGTCACTGGCCTGGACAGGCCACTTAATCTCCATCTTCTGCCATATAAAATGGGACTAACCATACATATGATCTACAGAGTTGTGGTGAGGGTTACAAACAATAACATGAATTGTTTGCAATAGCATTGGACACACGACAAGCCCTCAATACCTGTTGGTATCCCAGGTCAGGACACTGTCCTTTCTCTATAGGGGAGCCAAATATGAGCCCATACTTGCTCTGCCCGGAAGAAATAGGGGATGATTCAGGAGGACCAGACACCTTGGGTTGCCTAGGAGAGTTATCTACTATAGAGGATTTATCCCAGATTTGAGATGAGTTTGAGAAGACATTTCCAAAGTGAACGTGTGGCAAATGTGACAAACTCTGAGTTTTGGGAAACATCTGTGGAAGATGTTGCTGAAGGGCAGAACTGTGACATGAGCTAATCTCAGAACAAACCTAACAGCTCAGAATTAGCACCAAGGCCTCTAATTTGCCGACTGGGATCGAGTAGCTCCTGGGGACCATTTTGATATACCCAAAAACTTTGAGCTAATTAATGCTTCTCAGTTATACCCAAATACCTGCGCTCCACAACAGACTGCTGTTATCAGAGGAGCTGTGCAAGACAGTGATTCTCAAGTGAGGAGAAACAATTATGGCCCCAGCCATCCAGAAAGCACCGCACCATGTACATAGTGACTAACTGTGATAACTTCTTGAAGGAAACAGTGACATCCTGTTCCATTCAGCATGGTCTGGTGAGAGGCCTAGATTTGGAACAAAAGTAACAGCCTTTTTGTTTTCCAGATTTTTGTCTTCCTGTTCCTTGTGCAGAAATTCTACACTGGCTTCAGAATTCCTTGCTTTTCCAGTGTCCCAGTAATGGTCTTTCCTGGGTTCAGGGTGGGGAGACAATGACTTGGATCTAACATGAATCAAAGAAACTGCTGAAATAAATTCTTCCGGTTGAGAAGTGGGCACCTCTTTATTAACTCCCCCGCTTTTCTTCAGATACTTCTCATCTCACAATGTGCTCAAGAAGGATCACAGGAGAGAGGACAGGACTGGGTTAATTCACCTCGCAAAGCCAGGAAGGTCTTTTGGAAGGCCATTGCTTGCTTGGTTTTTGCAAAATTCTGCCTTGTGGGCCTCCCTGGTGGCTTAAGTGTTAAGTCTCAGCACTCTCACCTGAGTTTGATGCCCAGCCAGGGAGCTAACCCACATATGGCAGCAGACATCTCCTGTCTCACCCGCTGCTCCCCTCAGCAGTGTGTTTCAGTAGATCTGCCTGCTCTGTTTCACACCCTGTCTCTAGTGAATCCTTTCACTCCCCAGCAACTCTGGTCCATCCCAGTTCTTGGATGCATAAATAAATAAATCTTTTTTAAAATCTGCCTTCTCAATTATGATTACCTTCTTCTTAAAAGCACATTCACATGAACAACTAGTGCGCCCTGTGAGTCCTGTGAGTCGGGGCAGGAAAATGTGGGCTCGCTCTGTGAGCCCTGTGGGGTTTGAGCCTTTGTTATCTCCTCCTGGTGCTGTTGTGTGCTTGTCTCTCAAAACTCGTCGAAAATTGGATTTGAATCTAGTGAAAAAGAAGTGCTTTCCTTTCTCAACACTTTCTACCCAGCACCAGTGGATAAAGTAGCTGTAACAAGCCAATGGGCAGATCTGATGAGTCACCAAACCCCGTCCCTGCCCCACATTGGCATGGGAGAGTGAAGCACCTCACCTGCTGTGAGTGTCACACAAAAAATTTTCCAGTTGTGGAAGGATGAACCAGCAATCAAGCAAAAGAGATGGTATTTGTAAAGTTCAAGTTTTGTTTTTTCTAGGAAAGAGTATACCTTGTAGTGAGAAGCAAAAGACTATTTCGGTGCAGGGAGTTGTCTTATGAAAACTATGATTTTGGAAGTCCCTGAGACTTTCAGTCAGAAACCCAGCCCTTTAGAAAAGCACACACCTCTGCCCTCCTGCTGACACCTGCGGGGGTGGGGGGGTGGGGGGGATGATTTTTACTTTGGGAACAAGGAGGTAGTATAAAGGCACAAGGGTGAAGACATGAAAGATTTCCTGTCCCTGCCAGTGAATCTGTGGTGAAGCTGCACCGAGTGTCGTGTGCAGTGGTGGCAGGCTAAAACAAAGACTGCTTCCTTGGGGGAAATGCCTGACTTTTTGCTGAGTCAAAATCAGTATTTCACATCCTGAGGCGAAATTACAATATGTATTCTTTAATGATCCCAGATGATTAAGTCTCTAGAATTAAAAAGGCAGAAGCACTGCTTTCTCTAACTGCTTTCAATTCTTATTTACGTTGCCCAAGTCCACGGTCATCAGGCCCTGACATAAAGTCTCAGAAACAGAAAACACTTATTTCTTACCCCTCAACCTGGGCACTACATGGCAACAGAAATAGCTCCCATCTTACAATGGTTCAACTTAACAACTTTAGGATGGTGCTATAGCAATAAGCAGCCAGTAGTTCAACAATACTTTGAATTCTGAATTTCGAGTTTTCCCTGAGCTAGCGATATGTGACTTGGCATGCTTGGTGTGGGCAGTGGCAGCGAGCGGCACCTCCCAGGCAGCTGCTTGCTCACCAGGGCATGTGACCAGTGTGCTATAGCATACCATGTCACCAGCATGTTTTGTATGTTGTGTTTTTTATTTTTTTGTTTGTTGTTTGTTTGCACATAAGAACTGGGGAGTGGGCCAGAGGTGCGGGGTGGTGAGTGGATTCACTAGAGACAGAATAGGGAGCAGAACAGGGAGACCTACTGAAACACACTGCTGAGGGGAGCAGTGGGCGAGACAAGAGAGAAGAGAGGTCTGCTGCACCATGTGTGGGTTAGTTCCCTGGCCAGGATGGAACTTGGGCGTAGATCTGATAGTGTTGAGACTTACCCCTAGGCCACCATGGAGGCCCTGTGTTTTGTATTTTCTCATCCTTTCATGTATACCAAGTACCCATCTGGGTCTCCTGCTTCTGAGATATTCCACATTTTACTATAAAATATGCTTTGTGTTGATTTCACCCAACTGTAGGCTAATGTTAGTGTTCTGAGCATGTTTGGTGGTATATTAAATGCATTTTCAACTTATGATATTTTCAACTGAATAGTGTCCTTCCAAAATTCATGGGTTGGTCCAAGTTCTACCCTCCAACTCACTTGGG